GAAAGAAAGAGAAAGAAAGAAGAAGGAAGGAAGGAAGGAAGGAAGGAAGGAAGGAAGGAAGGAAGGAAGGAAGGAAGGAAGGAAGGAAGGAAAGAAAACTGCCTGTGAAAACTTAAACATTGAAGATCTCCATGATATAAGTGCTAACATATTTCTCAGACTTTAGAAATTGGTCCTAAAAATCAACAATGAAAGACTCAGCAAAGAAGTGGTGAACTTGCCCTGTTTCCAAAGACCTTGCGTCTCATTCATTCCAGTATGAACTTCTGACTGAAATCCAGGGAAAAATAAGAGGTATGGTCTGTTTACTAGTGTTGCAACAGTATATTACATTAAAAAATGAAATAAAAAGAAGACTCAATCTGTTCTGCTAGTCCAAAGCAGTAAATAAGGTCCTAAATCAGAGTTTCTTGCCTAGGTAGCAGGATCAGAACTACAAAGTCTTTCTGGTACAACGGTTCCACATGATATGACTGTGTAATATATATTTATTTTAGAAAATTTAGAAAAATACATTCTAAGTTGCAGGTGCCAAGCAGTGATCTCTATATTTTGGACAGTACACTGGGATGTGTGTACCCTTAATTCCACAGGAATTTGTAATATTGAAGAAGTATAGTCTTGATATGCTGACTCTACAGAGAAAATAGTGCAAAACCAGCTGGTGCATGGTGTTCTAATCTCTTGGATTTTCTTTGCCACACTTTACTCCCTTTTCAAGATTTTCAGGCACATGGAGCTTAGCATTCTGGCTATGAAGATATTTCCATGTATACTATGGATTATTCAAACAGAATTAAGCAGATGAACCTGCTAATACAACGTACTTTTCCAGTTAACTATCATCACCACCTGGCAAGCACCAACCTATATTAAGTAATTTCTGCAATGCGTATCACCTTGCAAAAGATGACAGTAGCGACGCTGAGGAAAAGCTGCTGGACACCTATCTTTCCCAGCTTTTCCAGTGAATTCCAGCAGATTCCTGATCTAAGTGGAAGAGAGCAACCAAGGGCTGGGCATGCATTGTCAGCATTGGGAAGCTGGGGGGCCTTCAAGCCCCTCAGCTTATCTGGGCAACACATAGTCTATCTTGCACCCACATCCTGCAAGTACTTTACAACCTTCTATATTCATTGGATTAAGTTAAACTGTTCGTAAGTGTCTGACCTGGGTTCAGTTTTGCAGAACAGATGGGTTCCTAAATATGTATTGTGGGCTTTCCTATATGATAGGACACAATTAAAGTCTTGTTTAAACTGAAGAATAATGTAGCTGTCAAACTAGGTCTGAGGGCAGGTAGGTTGAGTGGAAGTCACTCGCTGTTATCCGCACAACTGCCCTGGAGAGGCAGTTTCATTTGTACAGCAAAGAGTAGAGGTGCACTGGTGCAGCAAGAGCAGCCGGGAAGGCATGGCAAGAAGTTACAGAATGAAGACAGACCACGATTCCTTCCCTGCCACCACTCTGTTAACAATTTTGTTATGCCCTCTGAAATTCACATTGCTCTCCTTTGTAATTATATCTCCCTATAAATCACTTCCAAGCTTTACTGATACACTAAGGAAACCTTGAAACAGGTCATGCGAGTTTGCATTTTAAACCTGCATTTTGTTCT